TGTTTCATCACCGATCATACTCCTTTTCATTACCGAAGCCGTACTCATGTCGGACACACGTCCAACACATGGATGACATCATACATGCTGATACCTCATGGACTCCCTATTGTATACACACCGCCGACACTCGTAGCACACATGGACGTTTCAGTATTATTACTTACATGCAGTTACCACTCATATTTAATGGTTTCACGGACTAGTAGCATACCACACTGGGTCAAGGGCGTGGAGCATCCCTAGTGGAAACGCGTATGGACAAGGAGTCTCAAACACAGACTTACTAGTATATAAGCAGTAGTGTAGTATCATTGTACTTTAGTTCCGATCTCGTTTATACACCTGGCCTAGCCTAGTTCTACGAACGCGAACACATTCCTCCTTAAGTTCTTGCTGTGGTACCTGGTTGAGTCTCGTGGCTTAGTCAGTCGCTAACACAAGTCCGATTCGGTGTCGGAGGCCGTCAAACAGTCTGGACCTTGAAGAGGGTATATAAGCCAGCTGGACAGAGGGAGATGCACCATGTCCTTCTTTTCCTCTCTCATCTCACTGTCAGGTAAGTCGTAGATTAGACCTGCTTTATAAACGGCATGCTCCCCGGAACCCTAGAGCTAACCTTCCTGCTCTACGAGAAATGGCATGGCCGCGGGGTTCTAGGGGATACAATGGGGAGCATGTCAGACGTCCCACATAGTGGTACGCCGTCTTTGGACATTCTGTTCAAGTCCTCAATAGAGGCCACCGGTCTAATCAACCAGTGCGAGCTGAAAGGGAGCCTCCAGTCATTGAGTTGACTGGAGGCTCCTTTTTAGCTCAATGGGGCCCATCAGGCCGGACGCATCACGTCGGTACGATGTTTGAATTTGTGGACTTGTAACGCTTTTTCAATGCATCCGGAGTGCAGCGGCCCGGTGGTTGACGTTCAAACTTTTTGAAACTCTTATTTACGAGGATACTCTGTACGCTACAGCTTCCAAAGCATGTATTTTACGATTATATTGAAGAGTTTCAAGCAACAGAGGTCGTCGTTCGCAAGATATTTAATCTCAAAGGTCGAGCAGCTTTGAGCACGCTCAGCACAGCCACAAAGTGTTGCGCTTATCGGCCATCCATGCACGGAGTACGCACAGCCACAGCAAAACGTATACGCGCCAAGACGCATGAAGACATCCCGTAGACGTCGTCACATCCGCCGTCTCCCAATGCGCTTGGCTGGTTCGACCCGGAGGACGATCTCCTGGCGACTCGAGGAATTCCAGTATTCAAGCCAACGATGGACGAATTCCGAGACTTTGAGGGATACATGAACAAGATCGAGTGTTGGGGAATGCGCAGCGGCATTGTCAAGGTTATCCCTCCCAAGGAATGGTACGTCTGCTACCCGTTCATCTACTTGTAGTCCTTCATTGTCTTGTAGGGTCGATGCGCTACCACCGATGAAGGAACAGCTCGAGGACGTCAAGATAAAGACGCCCATCGAGCAGCACATTGCCGGCACCGGTGGCCACTTTCGCCAGGAAAATATGGAGAAGCGCAAGCTGATGAGTATACGCGAATGGGCCGAGCTCTGTGCTAAAGATGATGGTGGCAAGATGCGCGCTCCCCGTAGTACGAGAAGGAATAAATCCGAGGAGAGCCAGGACGAACCGATACACGATCCGGCCTCGATCACCACTGACCTCGACGCGGACCACCCAAAGTCCAAGAAACGACCAAAGCGTTCAGATAATCAGGCTGCAAAGCATGCTCGCGATTCCGAGTTTCTCCAGACATTTCAGCCACATATAGACTGGCTACCTCCGGGTACTACTTCCGACGACTACACCCCCGAATTTTGTCAGGAATTGGCGCGTCAGTTTTGGCGCAATTGCGGACTGGGGAAGCCTGCATGGTACGGCGCTGACTCGCAAGGTAGTCCTCGGTTCATCTGCTAATTCACCTCTAACGACATTTGCAGGCTCACTCTTTACCCCAGAGACAGAAGCATGGAATGTCGCGCATCTCGAGTCGGCTTTAACGCGTCTCCTTCCTTCATCGGACCAGGGCCTACCAGGCGTCAACACTCCCTACTTGTACTGGGGAATGTGGCGCGCAACCTTTGCTTGGCACGTCGAGGACATGGATCTGTTCAGTATCAATTATATCCACTTTGGTGCCCCAAAGTTCTGGTATGCTATCCCTCAAGGCAGAGCGAAGGCTTTCGAGCAGGTTATGAATGGTACGTCTTTCGCCTAGGGGTCTCCGCCGTAAAACTTCACGGTGCTCTACGGGTCTGGTTCTTGTTTCAACATATGGAACACTTATGGGATGACTTTGGGTGGTGGTAGCTGGGACGTGTCGGCAACAGGAACTGTTGGTGGACATAGACGCGCTTGGCCGTGTCGCGTCCCCAGCTTGGCTTCGTGTTCCTCCTTGCCACCCTAGCCCTGACCCGCACCGTGCCCGTAACCGTAAGACACTCGTCGAGCCGTATTGCGCGGTTATGGCGGAGATCCCTAGTCTTTTCACCTTCCCTCGTTGGTGTGTGCTGATCATTTCTTAGGATATTTTCCAACAGACGGCAATCGCTGCAATCAGTTCCTTCGTCACAAACAATTCCTCGTTTCTCCCGGTCGTTTGGCGAAGGATTCAATGTCACCGAACCATTGCGTTCAGCAGGCCGGCGAGTTTATCATTACATATCCTCGCGGCTACCATGCTGGCTTCAACCTTGGTCTAAATTGTGCAGAAAGTGTTAACTTTGCGCTGGACAGCTGGATTTCTCTCGGCCGGAGAGCCAAGGCTTGTCAATGCATCCCAGACAGGTACACTCAAACCATACTCTTGCACATTCATCCTTCTCACGACCCCCCCCCCCAGCGTCCGCATTGATGTCGACCAGCTCCTCCGCGACCGTCAGGCCGAAGCAGGAATGTATGTTTATGAAGAAGAGCCGGAACTAGCCCACACGTATGAGAAGGCAAGGTCCTCTTCCAAGAAGCCCCCTTCGCAAAATCTCTCCCTTTCCGTTGTCATCCCCGCCCGTCCTAACAAACGTCCTTTGGATGAATTTCCCCCGCCCATCGATATACGGAAGCCGAAAAAAGCAAAGACCTCACCTCCCTCAAAATCCAAGGCCAGTACTTCAAAATCGACGTCGACGGCTCCGAAGATTATGCTGAAAATTGGTCCGAGACCAGAGCTCGAACACTACCCTTGTTGCTTATGTGTGGCGACATCGACGGATGGACTACTTCGGGTTATGGATCCACCGTACCAGAGAAAAGAGGCTCTCGAGGCGGCGGGAAATCCTGCACAATGGCTTGCACATCGAACATGTGCTGATGTCGTTCCCGAAACTTGGGTGGATGAACTGGATCTGGAGGACGGTTCCAAGGAGAGCGTGATCTATGGCGTTGACGGAATCGTCAAGGATAGATGGAATTTGGTGAGTTTTCTTGGCTTCCTTGTGCTTTCTTCGACTGACTTTCGACGTAGAAATGCGCTGCTTGCGCCAAGGCTCGATCAAAGGCTCACGGGGCACCGATCCAGTGTACGAAAGGCAAGTGCTCGAAGGCTTTCCATGTATCCTGCGCGCGGAGTGGCCAGGAGCAAGGGATCAAGTTCGACGTGCTGAGGGAGGTCGAGAAAGACGTCGTTCTATTCGATCCGGTGGTGGACCCTATGCAAGTTGACTCGACTTTGGGCGGGCAAGAGCCGAATTCGACAGTGGTGAAGGTGATTAAGAAGGTGGAGGTCCAAGTCTTGTGCATGCAACATAATCCCGTTCGTCGCTCCCTCCATCTCACGCTTCACTTGTTCAATCTTAGCAGGATGTAACCGCTGCAAAAAAGGCTTCGAAGCTCGACAAGATTCGACGGGAGCTTTTAGCGCTGCCGCAGTATTCACCCATCAAGATTCGAGTTAGCTCTGGTGTCTTTGAGGTACCTCTCAACCGTGTTATCGAGGAGACCTCGTCGGTGGAAGTCATTTGGGATAAGGACTCGCGCGGTGGGTATCTCAAGCGCGAGCTTAAATGGGGGAGCGTGATCATGGGTAACACGGAAGGCATGGTGGTGCACAAGCGGTCGGAGATTCCGCGTTCTCAACGTGAGCGGTTTCTATCGTGGTCTGAGTATGTCACTTAAATGATCTTAGCACTACAATCTTCAGATATAGCGCAGCAGGGTTCGATCCACGCTACATGGGCGGCTTCTCAGGAACCAGCGGCATCGACCAGCCAAATACCCTATCAACCAACGACTACCTCTACCAATCAACCTTCTACGAGCCGCTCTCCTCCACTTCATCCCGCATACCCTATACAGTACGGCGGAGGGTGGCAAGCGCACTCTGTTCAGGGTGGGCCGCCTATGTACGGGTACATTGCTGCCGGGCAGTACTTTCCGTACACTACCCAGTGGCAAACGACGTACACCGCTCCGGGGCAGTATGGGACGGAACCGCCGATGCAGGCACGGCCTCCTCCAGATCCGCAGAGAGTTTCTCCGCCTCAGCCATCGCCAGTGCACCATTCGAACTCTCCTTCGCCACATCCGCAGGCGTCTCACCCGACACACCCTCCTTCGCCGACGCAACAGTCACCACAGTCTGCGCACTCTGAATCTCCTCCGAGGACCCGAACGTTTGAGGGTCTGAAGAAAGACTTGCAAAAGTTGATCGAGCTGGCACCTGAGAGGGTTGATGCGTTTCTCGAGGAGCACCCGCATATGCGGGAGCTGGTTCTTCAGGCGATTCAGGGAGCTGGTGATGTCTCTTAGTATTTCGCACTGTTTTGCATTATCGTTATTTAGTGACCATGTGTACTTTTAAAAGATCATGACGTGGAAGGACGACGGGTCCTGTCCCAAGTTTCGCATTCAAAGGCCCTTGAACAAACTTCGAAGAGAGTAGCGGAGTGGCGAGCGCAGAGTATGGCTCATTCGTTTTATCGTTGTAACAGTATGGTGTGGCGTAAAAAGAAGATCAATAGGCACTACCAGGGAAAGAAGATCAATAGGCACTACCAGGGGTCGAACCTGGGTTATGGGAAAATCACCGTCTACGTAAACATGTTCGACATCAGAATCCCATGTGCTGCCACTACACTATAGCGCCATGTGGCTGTGTAGTCGCAGTTTCTATAGAATCTCGGTGTGTTGTAGATGTCAACTGGTTCCAGGAAAGACGCATCAGCTTAGTCTCTCGTAGTCAGCCTAATAGAAAGCCGCAACAAGTTCCGTTTATATTAGCATCAGCTCATGGTTAGCAAGGTCGAACATTCGGTATCATTGGAAACTTCAACACCACGACTTGCTTATCACTTAAGCTACTGCAGACCGTGTTACCGAGAACTTTGTATGTATTGTCCGCAGACCCTTTGAGGTTGTGTACGGCAACTAGTATCGTGCTTGCACTCAATAGCAAAACAAGTATAATCGTGCATACACGCAAAAACAATTCATGTCCGTTCTGCTCCGAACTTTTATTGCTGTCTGTCCCCGTGTCAGATGCATCGTGCTTCCTCTTCTCTGCTCACAGAAGTCAGCATTCTGAGCTGATCAAGATGTCCAGCCGTACTCATGGCCTACGTTTTCTTACATAGGCATAAAGAACTTGATGATTGTCCAGCCGGAATAAGATGAAGAGAGACTCTTGGTGGCACGGCAATGGTATTCAATGCCAGAGGCAGTTTTTTTCGGGGAGAGAAAACATGAATCGAAGGACACCAGCACATGAACTATGTGACCAAGCCATTATCTACTAGTAGCCATCGAGCGAAATTTAAGAATTACAGGTAGAATAACAATTTAATTTCAGTGACTATCCTACACAAGTCCTACACGAACCTCTGAGTGGTCGGGTCGCCCGTGGTAGACACCTCAGGGTGCTGTTCCATATATTCTTCACGAAGGCGACCAAACCGCGCCATGTCCATGTCAGACTCATACATGTCGCTACCACCGCCACTTTCAGATCCATCATACTTCCTCTTCTCTGGCAGAGTGGTCAGCATTCTCAAGCAGATCAAGATGTACAGATGTACTAGACCAGCTTGGTAGAGGCTTTCTGACAATAGGTCCAGTCTCGAAAATCACTATGAACTTGATTACTGTCCACGCAAACCCAATGTATAGCAGGTAGGGAGATATTCTGGATGGCATGTCGAGAGTACGGCAATGAAAATTGAGACCAGAGGCTGTCTTGGCAGGAGAAAAAGAAGTACGCCACAAATGCAATCGAGCCATCTGCAGCAGTAAGCGGAAAAGGCGCAAAAAGACCGTTGTCCATAAGATCACGGACGAAGGGATTCATCGTCATGAGAAATCGGACATCATCAATGTTACGGCGAACCCCAAACGGATACATCGCTGGAGACTGAGTAGCGCGGGATGTTATGCCATGGCGAAAAGCCTAACAGAGACGCAGCCAGGCAAACTGGAAAACACGTACCCAATCTGCATGCTCTTGCGGCACAACATGTTGACACTCAACAAGGTCCCGTGAGGACACAACATTCATCTGCCCTCTTCACCCAGCCGGCGAAGTCGCTGGCACTGCAGTCTACAAAGTCCAACTTCGGGTTATACGCCTGGGCGAGCGTCCTCCAGGGTTCAGGAAGAGCATCAGGACCGTCAGGCGGTTCCCATGCGTCGAAATGACCACAGATGCTATAGTCGGCCAAGGCGGGGTCGGTCGCATGGAAGTAGTACCGACCGGCAGGAATGAGAACGTCAGGCGATATTTGCGCATGCGGCCCCGCTTCTCTTGACAAAGACAGATACCCTTCCGTCTGGGCAACGATTGTCGCCGCTTGGAGCACGAGAATCCTCGACATCGCCCTCAAGGTGCCACGCTCCGTCCGACAACCGAACGATAAGAAATAGCGATTGTGAATGGGATGAGAAACAGAAAGATACTCCAGTTCCTCTAGGGGCAGACGCGGAATCTGTGGTTTGACGATTTCTGGATCATTCATGGTGGCCGTTACGTCAGTTGTACAGATGGATATTGGTGGAAGGAAATGATGACGGCAGAATACAGATTGAAACTTGGTCACGGTGCAGTGACTGTCACGTCTCTTCGAACTTGTCAATGTCATTGTCAAGAAGATGCCGGTGCCACTCGTACATTCAGAACGTTCGCACACCGAGCGCTGGCTGGACGCCGTATGGGATAAACTATGGTCGCTCATCCAACGCCTTCCTAATAACCTTCGCCATCCCTTGATCCTCATCCACTGCAGCAGATATATATTCGAACGCACGCGCCATCCCTGGCGCGTTCTCTTCCGGCTTGCATTCCCCTACTCTCGCATGCCACCACCTCTGTCCGTCGAATCCCTGGTAGAACTATCCACTCGCTCTCCAGACTATATATACGAACGCCACGACAATATCAACAAAATCCGAAATTTCGACTTGTTCGCTTCCCGCGATACGCAACAATACGCGCTCTATCGTCTCTACGATGCAGTGTGTACGCAGCACCACAACGAGATGGTGCACGAGGCAACGTACATCTGGAATCGCGACGAGTGGTCCCTCGCTGACTGGCCGGATCCCCAGGACACGGACCCTGTGCGGTACACGGTCCTTGCGGGAATTATGGAGATGCTCGTCGAAGCTTACAATTGGCGCATGAATTTGGGATTCTGCAGGAATCGAGAGAGGCAGAGGAGGAAGACAAGATCTGAGCGGCGCATACCCGAGGGCCCTCCTGAAAGTGTGCCAGCATGGGCGGCAAAGGTTCCGCCAGCCAAAGAGAAAGTCGTTTTATTCAAACCTGGAACGGATGACTGGACGATGAAGTTTGCCTTGTCGGAACCTTTGAGGAAGAGGAACGTCTGGGTACTGGGACCGGGGAGTTCAAGTTTGTGTAGTACTCCGATGGACTTCTACTTGTTCTTACAGAGATACTCTTTCCGGACTTTCCACTACCCGCGTCATGTTCCTCTCGCTTACTTATGATATACCACGATGCCCTGACGTATACTTCGAGTAACATTCGACGGCACTTTGAGTTTTTCCTTCGGGCTACTCAGCATTTGTTCGCCTAACATTGCAGCTCCCTTGCATGTATATAGTACACTCTATATATCGACTCCATCTTCGCATCTACTGCTCTGACATCCAACTATGCAAATGAAAATAAATTTCAGCAACTTGACGATCACGCCAACTCCACGTCGAACGGCTTATGTGTCGATCGACCAGCCACCGACTGCTTGTCCGGGTCAACAACCTCAATGCTGGCTGACGCATGGAAGTCGTCCTGATGGATCGTCTCGATCTGCACTTGTATTCCAGGTTTCTGAAACAGAACGTCAAGAACAGGTGCTGGGCTGCAGGGAGTGAGGATGGTTACCTGTGCGTGGTTCACACGAGAGAAGAGACGATTCCCTGAAGTATTCCTATCGTGGAGCGAATGTGATTCTCCTCGAGAGGACTGCTGGGGTGTGCGCATGCTTTTGCGGTAGTTGAGAGTGGCAAGGAGGGAATTGGAGTAGACTATACGATAGTCAGTGAAATCGGCATAACAAGCACTAGCCCGGACTTGCAGCGACCAACTAGAATGGGAGCGATAATGAGCATAAAACTCCTTTCGCAGAAAAGTCACGCACTGATGAAGTAGAATACAAAATAAATCAACGTGTCAGGTAACGCGGTGATCTGTTGAGAGCTCAGAATCCTATACGAACCAAGAGTCACTGTAAACGTACACATATCAACGACATGATGGCGCAGAGGGATGTCAGCAGTCCGGAGTTGATAGCGAAAATCATCTGTATTCCAATTAACGCTCTGCGATGAAGAGAGGAAGTGAGGCGCACCAGTCGGTTGATGACGTGGTTACTCCAACCGAACCCAGACTTTGATGATTCCAGCATAGTGCAGATAGCTATGGAAATCGCCACGTCGCCAGCAGCAGCCAACCCGTTGATCGACATGGACACTCCCTTGATCTGCACTAGCTCGTCAAAGGTCTTGAGGCGCATGCCCAGACCCACGTAAGCTGCCAGTGAGAACCCGTTAGACGCTATGGAAAGTACGGGCCACTTCAGGAACTTACCGAGGGATACCGCTGAACAAACCCAGATTCAGAACGTTAGGGAAGAAGGAGGTTGAATTGCTTACCAAACTCTGCAGCTACAAGTGCACTCTTGGTAAAGAAAGTGAGGAATGGTTCCATTGCGTACAAGGAGCACTCACAATGAAGAGGACGACGGATACGTTTCTGCGGACTAATTCTTCATCAGCCGGCACCCTCTTGAAAAATAGTGAGAGCAAACTCACACGTCCAAATGCGATGCACGAAGAACGATTGCACCAAGAAGCCGGTGAGGCCGTTGAATAGGACTTCCAGCTAGGGACCTCGTCAGGTTGACCACACAAAACGAAGACCGCTACGAACATAAATACTCCTATAGTCGGACGTTCATAATCAATCCAGCGCGGTTAGGATAACAAGACGCACCAAAGCACTGTATTGAGGCCGTTCCGATCCCCAAAACCAGTAATAACATAGGTATACACTGTATGGAATCATGAATGAGTCGACAGTCTAATTATCGACGGTATGAAGGATCACCTGCATGCGTGATAAGCGCCTGATGGACCGTATCGCTGCACCAAGTAACAAAGACCTAGAGGACCTCGACTCAGGATTTTGGCAATCACATTAACAGCAGGAAACGACGTACAGTCACGCGCAAGTAAACAGGGTCTTTGCCAAAGTTGTCAAAGTAGTACCACGTCTGCACACAGGAAACTTTGGGGGGCAGGCATAGTTTCAGCCGGAGAACAAGGATGCGGATGCGGATGCGGAGACTCACCACCCCAGAGACTGCCGAGTGAGCCGTTATGAGTTACGGTGGCGTTAGAGAAATACGGAACACTCACACAGCGCCGAGGACCATTCCGATAAACAGAGCGCCCATGCTGTAATAGTAAATGAGTATTTGCCACCTGCACCTCAAAAGGTCCCCCACGCACCTGCTGTTCAGCGACTCGTCGAATTCAATAGGCTCAGCCGACATGGTCAAGAGGAAGGAGCGACGTCGAACGAGCAACAAAGGTTGTTCCATCCCATACACATTTTATGAATTTAAAAACTGA